GTCTTTGTTTAACGACAGCAGGTGTATCGATAGTGTTGTGATTTATAAGTCGATATTTGTTTGGTCATCGTTTACTTTATTTTAGTAGTCATTATTTTACACAAATAGTGGCATATAATTGTGGTACCTATATGATAAAGGTTTCCTAAATGCCCCGAAAGGAAAAGATGTGGATCGACGCTACGTGTCGCCCCTCGACACGTAGCATCGATCCACACCAATGGTTTCCCACCAAAAATAGTGTGCTATGCTCAAGACACTTCACAAAAGACAATCTTCATATTATGAAAAACCGTAGAAGGCTGTTGGATTCCGCTATACCGTCTCTATACTAGCCAGTTTTAGTATGGACTTTAACATTTTTTTAAAGTATAATACCGGATTTATAAACCATAAAACAAGTGAAAGTTATAATGTGATTATTGTTATTCTAGTGTTACATGAACTTCAGTAATACTAAGTACATCTAAATTTGAAACACGTACTTACGTACGTATTTTAATTAATAATACTACTTTTAGGTACAACACTTGGCAAAAATACTGTCACCACCGAAAGGACATACCAGAGCACACACAAAGGATTCACACCATTTTGTTAGTGAGATAAAAGACCTACATCTCGCTTACAATGAAACTATGGTCATTTTTGGTGTTCAGTCACTATGCACGTGTCTACCTATTGAACACTGCTTCTCAATTGTAACTAGGAAGCTACAAGATAACAACATGCCTGCAGAATATGCAGTATTACTCAAACACTGCTTCACATCTGGCTATCTATTGTAGTATGAAAAGTTCTACAAGCAAGTTGATGGTGTGGCGATGGGCTCACCTGTATTTCCTATAGTCGCCGACATATATCATGGAAGACTTTGAGGAGAAAGCCCTTCTTACTGCTCCTATAAATCCAAGATTCTACGAGGGGTACGTAGACGACACTTTCACAATTTTACCATCTGACAAAGCAACTGCATTTTTAGACCACCTTAACTTCATAAGCTCTAAAATACAAATCACGATGGAGTTAGAAGCAAATAATACTTTAGCTTTCCTGGATGTTTTAGTCATTCGAAATCCTGATAACACTATTGGTCATACTATGTATATGAAAAAGACCTATACCAACCGATATTTAAATGGTAAATCTCAGCATCATTCTTCATAGTTTGCTACTGTGGGTAAATATTTGTTTCAGAGAGCACAAGGGATCTGTGACAGAAAACATCCAAACATTCAGCATGTCAAGCAAGTATTGCAAGACAACAAGCTTTGGGTCCCACACCTACATCACAGCGACCGAGTGAAGCCGGCCACAGTCGATGGATGGGTACTGCCATCTGCTTGGGATCCTATAATTAATAACATCTACCCAAACCCAAAAATGAGAGCCGTGGTAGCTCAGTGGTTAACGCTCGCTGTAAATATAACAGAACGCGAGTAAACCCGGGTTCGATCCCCGCCGGCACCAATGAAATTGTTAATTGCAATTTTAAGTGCTGATTTACCACGTGCTCGGCGGTGAAGGAAAACATCGTGAGGAAACCTGCATGTCTGAGGAATAAGAAAAAAAAATATTTCGAAGACATGTGAAGTTCGTCAACACGCATTTGGGCAGCGCGGCGGACACTTCCTTGCCCTAAACCCTCTCAGAAATGAGGGGAGGCCTGAGCCCAGCAGTGGGACGTATATAGGCTTTAGACTTTACTTTACTTTTACTTTACCCAAACCCAAGCATACCACTGCAAGACTTCAAGATACTGTAAGCTCGTTTTATGTAGACCGGAGATCGGAACCAAAAATCAATATTCAAAAACTGAAGATAATAGATGAAGAATAAGAAGCCGGGCTAACTATGATATTGAGACGTCAAACATCTCAGTCCCCCCCCCCCGTGACCATGTGACCATAAGTTAATTAAACGTGATAAAATCCGTAGTTTTATTCAATGTGTAGTGTTTGCGTAAATTTAAGAAATCATTAGATTACATGTACATATATATATATATATATATATATATATATATATATATATATATATATATATATATATATATATATATATATATATATTATCTTATATTCTTTTATTTATATACATTGTTTTATTTTTATTAAACTTCAAATAAAAATTGATCAATTTATTTATTTATCAATAATCAACAAATCCCAAATTTATCGATCAACATCCCAATCCTGTCCCATCACTATGGTTCAGAGCAATCTAAGTTCAACCTTGAATTATCCAATCACAGCGCATTTGACACGTCCCCCGCAACTCGAAATTTGGTGAAATCGAAACAACAAATATTCCATGATGCGGTATCTATTAAGGGGTAGTCTGTGGTGTAGATCACAGCCTGGGAACAATTAATGAAGTCCAAGTGTACACAATAATGTTAATATGTAATCATTAGAAACAGGTACACGGTTATATATATATATATATATATATATATATATATATAGTTTCACACAACACAACATAAAAGTCAATAGCTATACAAAAATTGAAGGAGTACACAGCGAGCTAGCAACTGAGCACTCGGTTAGCCAGACGACGTGGGCTTCGCGTATGCTGTCGGTAAGCGGACTGGTCATAGAGTAGAGTAATATATACAGAAAAGAGTAATATATACAGAAATAGAGAGCCATCTCCTAGAATTTTTTGTCACCCAATATGAATGGTGTCGCCGTCTGGTATCATATCCCTTGAACTAATCTCAATATCACGTTGACTATAGATAGCTGTATGTAGTTATGTATATACAGCTATCTATACTATAGGCGGTTATATTTATATTTTAAGGGATTAGGGTTCAATTAAAGACGTATTATATATATTATATTATATATATTTAACATACACGATGTAAAAGCGTCTATTCCGCAAAATACAACACCAAACCAAATTAAATATGTCCACCGGGTTACCGGAATGATAAATGAAAGCGTCTATTTCGCACAACACTACACAAACATACAATGTGGTTCCAGCATGAAAAATCTAAACAGACAACAAAAAACAGAGGGCTAATCCCAACTCAACCAAACTTATTGTAGCAACAACCGAAAATCACTTATAAACTATAATAAAACAACAACTTGCTCAGACGCCGGTAGCCATTATGTTATATAAAGTTGCTACTTGCAGCAGTTCGAGAATAACCAGAATTGATGTAGTCGCCATCTAGCGAACCTTTTAGAATTTAATGTTCGAAAGTTAATGCGGATATAGTACAAGATGGCACTAGTAATAGATAAATAAATATGTAGCAAGGCACTAGTATCTTTGCAAATCATTGAACCCCAACCTAAAGTATGGAAGTGTACCCCCCCCCTGGGACTGGTAAACGCGATGCATGGCGTTGAATGTAATGGTGGCTAATATAGCGCATAGCGCTATATTATAGCGCGCTATCTCTCAATAACACGTAGCGCGTTTTATGTAAATAGTCGCCATGGCGCTATTGCGCTATGGCGCTTTGGCGCTATCAAGTATTAATGTCTAGCGGCAATTAGATTAGTTCTAGCAGCAGCACTGTTGGGAGAGGACGTGTGACGAAAATTTGATCTCGTAGCGCGCTATTCATCGCGCGCGACCTAATTTAAAGTTAGACCTTGTTTAGTTAGTGTATACTGTATATTTATAAATGATCAAAGTTCACAGTTGTGATAAAAGAAGCCTAACTAATGTTTTTAAATGTAAATAAAATATAGATACAATAATGTATGTAAATAATTGATTTTTATAAATACAATAAATAAACTTTTAAATACACCTTTATTTGATTTATAATTTATATTAAGGTTAAAATAATGTTTACATCAATTATAATAAAAAAATACTCTAAAATAAAATTAATTCTATTTTAAATAGCACATAACTATATAATACATATAATTAAAATTAAAGAAAATTATAGAAATTAGTAAGCCTGAAAAGCTTCGATCAACAATACCAACTAGATAACAGGTCACGTACAAAATCATAGCTAAATACTGTCCGCATGAATATAAACTATGAAAAGACATAAATTAAATAACATTTGGTGTGAAATCAACCTCAAGTTATAACAAATAAAGTTCTTTTTCCCGTTATTGCCTTGCGAGCTACACTCTCACGTGCAAGAGCTCACGTCTCATGTGCGCTCTTATTTACGTAGATGGATTTTTTGCGCCGCGCCGACCCGACATCTAGTTGGTATTGTTGATCGAAGCTGAAAAGTATGAAAACGCATGCATTGGTTTTTCTTTACCGCTTTATTTTATTTTAGTCTAAAATGCGACTTATTACGAAATAATGTTCTTATATAGCACGCGATCTATCCAATGAACGACATGTAATGTAACGTGCTAAGAGATATAACGTGCTGTAAAACTTAACGCGCTTACCGGCCTCCTACACGCTTTCTTATAAATAGCGCGCTATAACGTAGCGTATTTAATAGCGCGCTAGAAATTTATAGTTTATAGTCTGTAGCGTGCTATTGATTTATAGTCGTTTTGAACAACTTTATCGAATGCCCAGGCGCAGGGAACTGCATTCCAACGGTATAGTTGTTTAGCGTGTATGCACACTAGGTTAATGTAAATAATGATTTATTATTAAATATTATATTTATATTCTAATATGTAACGGTGGAATTCAGGTTATTTAATAATTGTAAATAGTTAGATATAATTCTGTAAATATATAAAATAAATAATATAAATATATATAAGTGTGTAATATGTATATGTATACATATGTAAGTATAATATACAATAAGTAGGCTACAAATGAATTTTATATATATTGTGCATAATTTGTACCAGAACCACTGTCGTCATTATATTCCATGAGAGATCTTACACATAGATATCTTCATTAGCTATAATCTTATCAGGGATTTATTTTGCATGCTTTGATTGAAGGATAAGACGACCATCTACAGTCTTTATATATCAGGTACCTTATTCACAACATTCACTCCGTTCTCTATCTTATCCAGCTACAAAATGAAGCAGTTAATACTGTTTTTGCCCTTACTCTGTGGCGCATATGGTAAGTGGAAGCAATTGAAACTAATCTTCTTTTTATTTCCATCTCCGCCAACTTGCAAACTTTTCTCGCCGAATGGCTGGCTATACTTAGCCTTTGAACGGAGCAAAGATCCAGGCTGCCTGGCAAAGCTGGATCATCTTACTACTAAATATATCCTCGTTGTTTGATTTAGTTCAAATATTTTATCTTATTAATAATAATAATAGGTAAAATTTTTGTTAATTAGTTAATTTATACCTAAACAATGTTTGTCCCCTTGTCTTTTCTATACCGTGTAGTGGCGGTGTAAAAATATCCACTACCAAGCCATATCCTGTGGGATGATATGGCTTGGTAGTGGATGAGAGGCGACATATGGAAACAAATCAGAAGATAGGCAGCAGCGTCTTCCTTATAACGACTAATAAAAACTGCGGTTGCCAACCCGCTTGCCAAGCGTGGCAACTATGGCAAATATCCCCCCTATGAGGCAACCTAGAGGCCTACGTTCAGCAGTGGACTGTTATAAGCTATAACGGTAACGGTACCTAACGTTTTTCTGAAACGCCTGTTGCTAAGTGATAACTATCACTTGTAATATATACTCGTAGTAACACTTTATTGAAAAAAGAAAGAAGAAAAAAGAAAATTTTGGCATAAATTAAATAAAAAACTGCATAAATGTAAATCACGAATACAATCAAATAATGTCTGTACGTCGTGAGTCATGCCAACAAAATCATCACTTAGCATAAGAAAATCACAACGGTAATTTTTGACCGATGTCACTGCCACTATCCAAGTATATTTTAGTCACAGATGTAGCATAAAACTTTTGAACTCAACTGATTTACATATAAATGGCCTACTTCTAGGGATTTAACTGCACGTGTTATTAATTTTTACTGCACCAACTCCGTTACTAAATCGGAAATAGACATTTGTTAATCCTTAAAATTCCAAATTTCATCGTTCCATTTATTTCTGTAGCATGATATGCTACTAACGGGTTTATTGACTTAATTCTATATATTATAGGTTACCTACCTATTGGGTATTGGGTATTTATTTAATTCATTAGGCAAAATGCAAAAAAATGTTGAGAAATTATCATTCTCAAATGCTTTTTAATTTTTCAGGGGCATGGACGAGTGGACTTCGAGGTAATCTTTCTTTAAATAATATTAACTAAGCAGTGTTGATTTAATTTTTTTATTTAAGTTTTGGATCCAATATATCAGTCTATGAGGATAACCTACATTTTATTAATCTTCACACATACGTAGAGCCACGCTGCAGCTATAATAATTATAGCTATAATAATAATAATTATATATTAGGATTGTACAAGAAAGGGTCGGCTTGACTGGGGAAGGACCACGCTCTCACATCTGTGTTACATAATATGGTGATTGTAGTGAACCGGAGACCCTTTTTAATGGAAACCATCTTATTCCGCAGAGGTGACAACGCATTCGTATTTTGATTATTAACTGAAGATAGATGTAGATGTCTATGGGCGACAGCATCCACTTATCATCAGGTGGTCTGTGTGATTATTTGTCATCCTTATTCTACAAAATATATCTAGATGACCTGTTGTTCGAGTCGAGATTCCTGATGTGTCGTCGCCGTGCTGCTCCAGTGTGAATTAGTCGGAGCACTTCACAAATCCCTGAAACATTTTTAATTTTTTAGATATGCAGGATTGGCAGGTGTTTTCCACCACGGCTGAAAGCGTTGTACAGCATTCAAAATTACTCAAGCCATTGCTCATTTACCTCATCCCACTACAACTCTAAATAAGCTCTATCAATTCTTGTAGTTCAGTCTTCTTCTTCAGTCCGTTCTTTACGTCTGTTTTTTTTTTTTTTTTAAATATAATACCTGATGGTAAGTGGTTACTGTAGCCCATAGACATCTACATCTATCCTCTTTCTTAAAATGTCTTAAAATGCGATGCATTGTCATCCGTAAGGACTAAGTTGGAATACCTCGATTCCAGTAAAAAGGTTCTTCAGTTTTCCACACTCACCATACGAAAGACGCAGCGTTGAGTTGTTATTTCACGCTGGTATTCATATTGATATGTTTATCTACATGATTGTCTGAAGCCATAATGGCATTGTGCATAGTCGCTTTTTAAGACACCCTCGGGACGAAAGAGCCCCGTATAATTCTCAACCAGATTGGATGATAATTGAATTCTGTAAATGTTTTTTTAAATAATTCTGTTATTGACATTTCAAGCGTGATCGAATTTAGTTTCGATATTGCTTTTGGATAATTCAAACAAACCACCATCGAATAGATACTAATTTTAATATAATAACATGACCATTGACCACGGAATATGGCATTGATTGTTTTTTTATCACTTACATCGCTTACCTACTTGTACCTACATGACACGAGATTGCTGTTGAATTGAAGCGTGAAATAATTAGTATCAACAAGTGATTAAATTCAAAGATTACATTATTGAAAATCCATCCAGCAGATACCGGTGTCAGATAAAGGATTTATTTTCATAATCGTTTTCACGTTAATACTGTTAAATAGGCATATTCATATTTTTTTATCTTTTCATGTGATGCAGTCAAGTTCGACATCGGTTTATGGCCTGGAACGGACTTCTTCTTCGAGTTACCCCGCACTGTAGATGACGCAACCGCCGAAAACTGGACTTTGACGGAACGGCCGTCAGGACCTTTGTCTAGTCTCGTCATGTACTGCCCGGGAGAACGGATTGTGTGCACGATGTTTGACGTGGACGGAAACATTGCTGGTCTGCAAATAGCCGTAAGTAATATTAACACCCTGCAGGAGATGCAGAAGTTAGCAAAAGTCCACGTCTAGAAACATCACGTCACCGCTCTGTGTTAAAATTGAGTCCTAATAAGTCCTACATATTGAGAACTTTGTAGCAAGCTCTCTCCTCTCTCGTTATTCTAAGCAATTCGCGAAATTTTAACCTCAAAGAATCAAAACATTTCATTGAAGTAACGAAGGTGTACTTGAACAGAGCCTCATTTAACTATCAGACTCTTAATAATTAGCCCTACTTATAATCTTCTATTTATGTAACTTACATAAGTAATAATTGAAGACATGAGTCGATGAAGGGGATATGATACAATTTGTAAATATTGATAAAATGAGTCATAAAGTTTTGTTTCTTATTTTTTAGCTATAACGCTTTTCGGTTTATTTTTTTATAACTAATTATGCGTAAAGATGTCAATAATAAGTAAAAAATTGTAAGAATATTTATTTATTGGAAAAAACATGTGACTTAACTCTTTCATTGATCGCTTAATTAATTTGAAATTACAAATCTAAAGTAAACATGAACGGGATATCTAGAATTAAAATAAATAAAAAATATTTATTTTGTCATTTTAGGTAGGTTAATCTTGGCCGACAATATTTCGATAATAGTATATTAATATTGTGGTTTTTCAAATTTTATCAGTTTCCTCTAGTAGTAGCTTTCTATCACCACGTACATCTTCAATATTTTATACTTGACCTCTTTTTTTAATATACATATCCCACTTTCTAAATTTCTTTTCAACATCATCTTCATTACAGCCCTTCACAAGTCCTCTGCTGAACATAGGCCACCCCCAAGGACTGCCATAAAGCACAGTCCTGAGCCACCAACTATCGATCTTATCGATGGCATATCTTACTAGGTCGCTCCATCCAGTGGGGAGGCCGCCCCAGACTTCGCTTACCGATACGAGGCACCTCGTACGAGATACTCGAGTACCTTTCTTCACCATCGGCTGTCGGTTCTCCGAGTCATATATGACCAGCCTATTGCCACTTCAACTTACTAATCCGTTGGGCTATGTTTATTATTCTAGTTCTGCAAATATACTTATTTCTAGTTCATCACGCGGAGAAACTCTGAGCATAGCCCTCTTCATAGCTCGCTAAACGAACTTGTGTTTCTTTATACGGCCAGCAATGGAGGACCACGTTTCTGATCCATAAATCATCACTGGCAACACGCGCTGCCAACCGTCGAAGAAATTGCATGTATGCTATTATACAAACTTGTTTTCAAGTTTTGAGGTGTACCTGACGAGAAGATGTATCGTAATCTTCCGAACACTGCCCATCCGAGTTGAATCTCGGTACTTCGGTACTACTTACCTAGTCGGACTATTTGTTCTAAGTAATCACATTATAGCAGCAGCATGGCTCTACCACGTAAAAATGTTACACATGACCTTTGTTATGTTCATGTTTGGAGACACCATTGAGTTCATTGAGCATAGTGCTTAGATTCTTCAGCGATTCTGCCATAAGGTCTGTATTGTCAGCAAGCCAAAGATTCTAAAGGATTTCAAGTACTGGTTTTTCACCAGCTTGCAGAAGCTCCGCTGTAATTCTATCGTTGCCCGGGGTCTTGCCGTTTTAAAGATGCTGAAGAGTTTTTATAATCTCGTTCAGACTGAGGTTCAGAGTATCATTGGAATAGTATTGGAGGAGTCTTACCTTGGGTCGTTACACTTGCGTGTGGCTTTACTGATGACGTGTGGAGCTGCCCGTAGAACCTCTCAATCTCACTCCAAATATAAGGTGTCCAGGAAACGATTCTACCACATTAGTTCTATAACTTCGACGGTTGGCTTTTCTAGCAGACAGATCTCTGGCAAAGATTTTGGAGCTTTGATTTTGTTCGATCGCTTCTTCAATGCGAGCTGTATTCAATTTGCTTTAGTCTCACCGCGTGCATTTGGAGATATGACTATTCAGTTGCATGTATGCTGTTATATTTGTTGTCATGTCTGTATGTTTTCTGGTTCTTCCGCAACCGGTTTTGCAGAACTAGGACCAACCGCATGGACAGTTTCTACGTGCCTGTCCTTCATATCGTCCACTGTATTGCAATCTTCTAGGCATTGAAAACGGTTTTGTTATTCGAGAAGAAAATATTCGGGACTTTGGATTAGAGCACGAGTTGACTTCATTAGATGTTACCTCTTCAACTTAATATTAAGGTTTAATGAGCTTCTTACCCTTCGGTGATCGCTACAAGTTTTCACCCTCGCGATCACCTGACATCGCTGAACAGTTGCCATCTAGTCGTCATAATGAAATCAATCTCATTTTTGTAGAAGCTTGACTAGGTCCACTTTGTGTGTGGCCGCTTCTAAAAAAAGAGTTCGTCATGAAGAGTCCCTCCTTCATGAAGTCAGCCTTTGGTTCCGTTACACTTACCTTTATGGAAAGTTTTAAAGTCAGAAACGATTTTGGCAATCATTGTCGTTTAAATCATTCGAAGTAGAAGAGTTTATTACAGATTTTACAAGTACCGTCGAAGTCTTGACATTATCGTAAAATATAATGAACAAATAAACTCGTGTTATTAAAATAAATCGATAAACAAACGCGCTCAAGACGTGCGTCTCACTAGTCGTGTTGTGGCGCATTTGAATTTTGAACACGATGCGAAATGAATGAAACAGACAAGTACAGGAGCAGGACATAACACGATCATGCATCTTCGATCAACAATACCAACGATCGAAGCCATGCATAATAAATTAATGACGCAGTGCGACGATGCGTTCGCTCACACTTACCTCCTTCATTCGCTCCAGAAAAACATAGATTAAAATAATTTTAAATTAAAGAACAACTAAGTGTCCATATAGCTTTCATTCACGGTGATTACCATTTTTGGTGTGCACATATCGTTTCATCAATTGCCATTTCTAAAACCTAGCTTCTATAACGCTGTTTTAAGATTTTTTATGGTTTGTATGCACATAAAATCTTCATTTATCAAAAAAATCTTTATAATGATAGATAACTCATGTCTTCAATTATCTTTATACCTGTCTTTTATATTGCCATCAAAAGAGAGAAAGGAATTTTAAGCATTTTCTGAAGTTGACGTTAATTCTTATGAGCTTCCTTGCCCTAAAACCCTCTCAGAAATGAGAGGAGGCCTGTGCCCAGCAGTGGGACGTGTGTAGGCTGTAACTTTACTTTTTTATATAATATAACCATATTAGCTACAATAATTGTAAATGTTACAGATACTAAGAGCTACAGATAATTGGAAAGTTAATGACTTAATAAATTTTTACACATTTTCTTAAACATTACTACTAGGGCTACCTAACTAACACGAATACCTAACTGACGAACATTCTGTGTCCGGGACACGGAACACATAAAAATACTTGTCCTCCCCCCCTCCCTAGCTAAGCCACAGCTTTACCGAGCCGACATCAAATATAAAATTACTTTAAATTTTATTAGATCCCGCAAGATGAGATCACTGGCTCCACAATGGACTGGCCCACTCAAGGATGGACCGAATGGACAACCAATACTTCTTCGGGAGTCACTACAACTTTCTGGACTATTCAACAATACTTCGTCTCTGAAGGTTTGATTTCTAAGCATTAATCATTACAATAAGCAGTTAATGAAACTCCACTCAAGTCGATCTTCTTTAGTCTAATTTCAAGCTTTGCTTTATGTTACATATTCACAGCTGGACATGGGAAAGAGAATTTGCTTTGTGATCGCATTACTAGATGCATAACACTGTCTCTGGATACTCGTCAGAATATTTTAACGCTAGCTTTTTTAATGTATCATAGGATACATTAAAAAGAACATACTTTACATGACTGTCGCTGTCGTTGTGACAAACATTTAAATGTAAAAAAAAATTGTAAATAAAATATCTTATTTTATCTTATCTTTACAAATTTGAGCGTACTTGCTTAGGCTTTACACTGGATACTAAAACAGAAAAGGTTCACGTTGGCGTAAAGAATTTTTACTTATTTTAAGCCAGCGCTTGACTACATGTGAACGAAATAGTAACTAAGGACTTATGCCCTTGTAGAATTCGCTACATAGTTAGTAACACCACATAAATTCCATTCGGCCTTAAAGCAAAAAGTAGTTTATTAGTATCAGGTTTAAACTAGAATCTAAATCTAAACTAGAAGTTTTTATGAAAGAATTTACGCGGGAATATGCGAACCAACGACTACACAGCCCGAATAGACGCCTAATGTATGTAGTGAGTAATTTTCTCGATCGTAAGAAAAATGTAAAGTAGGCTATAATTTGTTACATTTCTCCATGTAACCACAATATTTTTACGAATCAATTCGTGAAAGTATTTAAAAACAGGAAAACAATTCAAATAACGTATCTTATTTAACTCTACAGAGACTTTTAAGATGAGCAAGGAAGAACGCATTAAGGCCTTTGAACGTTCACCAGACGTATTGCGTGAAAATGCCGTCTGGGTGACAGGCTTCGACGGAGAGCTAATGTATATCTCCAAAAATGCTACTGACGTCGCAGACAGCTTATTCACACGTCAAGCCTGTATTCCTTGGATGGGTGAGTATGATTAAATAAATGAAAAGGCAAACAGTAAAAGTGGTCTTCAGTGTCAGGGAAACTTGTTATGAATTGATTTATTAAGACCCAGGTTGACTACAAACGTATGTGCATGAGCACAAGTTGTTAGATTTTGAGTTCGGACGAGTATTTATGTCCCTAACACTGCATCTCTCTGCATTGCGTTATTTGAATGTTTAGGGGATTTCCGCCGCACCGGCTTGCGGATCCGAAAGCTCAAATCAAATCAAATAATTTATTTGTAAAACATAGGTAAAAAGTTAGAAACTTGGTGGAAAAGGTATGATAAGTAACGCTATGTTTCGCCTACAAAGGCATACAACTATTTGTTTATCACTATCACCTGGCAATATGAAAATTAATTTTTAATAAAACAACAATTTCAATTATAATTAGTATGTTTAGAAATATCATTAATTATTATCTTAATTATCAATTACATAAATATAAACATATAATAAATAAATCGTCCATTAATTATTGTAGGTACTAAAAACCATTAATTTTATCTTCAAAGTATTCGTTGATAGAGTAGTATGCTTTATATATTAAAAAACTCGAAAGCAGTTTCTTAAATTTGTTTGTATTATCAGTTTCTTCGATGTTTTTTGGGAGTTTATTAAAAATTTTAGGAGCCATACCTAGGAAACTTTTTGAATACAGGGCTGTTTTATGAGGTTTTGTGTGTAGTTTATTCCTATGTCGTTTATTATTAGCGTTTTCAAATATGCTAAAATGTTTCCTTACAAACATAGCTACTTCACATATATATAAAGATGGTAGGGTCAGAATGTTAATATCAATGAAATGCGGTTTGCAACTATCATTAACCTGCAACTGACATACTGCTCGTAAACATTTCTTTTGCGCTTTAAATAATAGTTCGCGGTTTGGAGAATTTCCCCAAAATATTATAACACATTTCAATGTTGAAGAGACGTATGCATGGTAGGCGGTTATGACTGTTTCACGATTTGTAATTTTTATAAGTTTATGTAGTGCATGGTGGAATTGATTTATCTTGTTTATTATGTGTTCAATATGTTTACTCCATGTCATTTTTTCGTCCAGCCAAATTCCCAGAAATTTTGTGTGTTCTTTTTCGTTTATGATTTTAGTTTTATAATTAATATTAAATTTTGGTTGTTTTTTTCTTTGTTTGAATGACATAATATGCGTTTTATCCAAATTAATTTTAAGATTATTGTCATTCAGCCAGTCTATTATCTTGTATAAATTCTGAGTTGTGTCCGATCCAATTGAGACCTTGTCTTGTCCCGTGAATAAAACTGTGCTGTCATCAGCAAATAAGGTCATAGGGTGCTGAGTCACCTGGGGCAAATCATTGATATATATTAGGAATAGTAATGGACCGAGTACGCTTCCTTGCGGCACACCGTAGGTTGTTTGCTTTTGTTGCGAAAGGTATGTTATTTCAATATTAGTACAAGGACAGATCTTTTTTATTTTAGTAATTTGTTTCCTATCATTCAGGTATGAAATAATAAGATTATAATATTACCTCTGATTCCATATTTTTCCAATTTAAGCGCTAAGATTTTTAAATCAACGTAATCAAACGCCTTGGTCATGTCCATGAACAAGGCGGTTGTTGGTGTACAATTATCCATACCGGTGATCACTTTTTCAATAAATCCATACATGGCCATATTTATGTTTCACATTTTCTAAAACCATATTGTTTCTTTTGCTAAGATGTTATTAACTTCCAAATAAGAATATAAGTTGTTATATATTACCTTTTCTATTGTTTTGGAGAATGTTGAAAGCAAGGCGACAGGCCTGTAGTTTTTAGGGTCATGTCTGTCCTCCTTTTTATATAAAGGATTTATAACGGATATTTTTAAACCACTAGGAAAAGTACCATTTTCTATACATAAATTCACTACGTAACTTAGAACTGGGGAAATTTCAACGGCCACTAACTTAACTACTTTTGTAATTATATCATCATTACCAGCACTGTTAGTATTTTTTAATTTATTAATTATTTTATATAAATCATGAGGAATACATGCAGGCATAAACATTGAATTCAGTCTACTACTTATGGATGTGTAACTTTGGTGACTATTACTAAACTGGTTTATGGGCTGAACTTCATTGATAAAATAATTATTAAAATCCTGAGCAATTTTTTCGCGATCATATATATATATATATATATATGGAATAAAACAAAAGCCACATGGAAAGTGATAAATAAGAATAAATACAACTTACCTAAAGATAATATTACAAAAATTAATTTTATTTTATTATATTAATTATTAATATTATATATATATATATATATATATATATATATATATATATATATATATATATTAAAATTAATTTTTGTAATATTATCTTTAGGTAAGTTGTATTTATTCTTATTTATCACTTTCCATGTGGCTTTTGTTTTATTCTCCGCATTGTTGATATAATAACTATTACGCGATTTTTGCGTCAAATTAATGATTTTTCTTAATCGTTTACTATAAACTTTAAGCCTTCTCTTATTTTCCTTAGTAGGGTGTAGTCATGAATTTACATTTACAACACAATTATAAGTATCAAAACATTCATAAACACTATTAAAACTGAGACTTCTGATGGCATTTTTAAATTCATTTAAGTTTTCTATGCTGTAATCCCGTTTTAACATGAACCAATGAGAGATAGTGTATGTTTTGTTAACAGGACATTTTAAGACTTGAGCAGTATGATCTGATATTCCCAGATCTATCACTTCACCTTTACTGCCTCTTATATTATGAATTATATTATCAATACACTTGCCACTTTGTAAACGTGTAGGCTCGCAAAAACTCGGTCGTAAGTTAAAATTTAACAATTTATTTTCTAATTCTGTAGAGAGCCGTGAACTTTAAAATAAAAAGAAACTTAAAATATCTATGTTAAAATCCCCACATATTATAAGTTTTTTTTTATTAGTACTACAAAATTTTTGGAACACACCTTCAAAGTTATAGAAAAACGTAGTTACGGCGTCTATGCTTTCTTTCGGAGATCTATATAAACAGACAATAATTATACCGTGTTCTATTAATTCCACACCACAACACTCCTCAATGTTAGGGCATGAATATTGATGTAATACGACCATTTTGTATTTCAATTTGTTATTTATTAAAACACATGACCCCCCTCTTCTGTTATTTCTGTTGGCGTATGTTGCTAGTTGAAAATTAGCTGTATCAAAGTTACTAGACTTTAAAAAGTTGACAATACACATAGGTATTTTATGTTAAATACATAATAGTTAAATACATTTGCTGTTGAATAATTAAAAGCCAAATTAAAATACGTTTTTAACTGAAGTAGATTGCTACTTCATGATTCTTTACTTTTTATTAAAGAATTTGCACTTCTAGAGTTCAGTCATCTCGCGGGAATGAAAACGCTGCTGGAACGCAATCACTAACCCCAATCTTGTAGAATAAGGTTTAATATGTTCTCCAGTTGTGCACGAGCGTATATCCAAGCGCAGCTGCACTCTGTATGCCCTCATTCTAATAATCCGATGAAACGGCAAAACGGCATGACTAATCTGAGAATTTCTTGACAGAAAAACCCAGAAACTAATTTTGGCCCGACCCGGAATTTGAACTAGAACCATGTGATAAACAATCACACTGACAGGTGCAGACTAATGTGGTATAGAGACGCTATAGCTGTTTATGGCTGTAGCTCGAATGTATCGACTCGAGGGAAGAAGCACGTTCTCACAGAATAAAAGCGTAAAATAGCAGCATGTGTAGCTGGAAACACAGCTAAGCATGGTACCCGACGATTTTTTTTTAAACGAAGAATTCCATCTTAGTCGAAGCTTGGTATAAATAAACGACACGAACAAAAACGTAGTCGCTGTGGTTGGACTAGACTAGGCGAACCTCATCATCATTATTAACTGAGGTTAACTTTTACTCAGGTCGTCACTATTATTACAATATGACGTCGGAGACTACCTGCACATCGAGCACTCTCCTCCCGTGGTTCCCAATTGTACACTCTGGTGAATTGATCGCCACGGGCCTCATCGCGCACGGCAGCCTGCCAATAAAAAGCGACGAGAGGGATTGGTTCGAAAGACCTGCAAAGTTGGCTGTTCAGGTAAATTCAATTTATTAATTTAGGTGCACTTAATGTTTTCGCTAGTTTAATTATTATTAGTACCTGGATGACCGAACCTTGCTCGGTTTTAATTAAATTTTTTTAAGAAATTAGTTTAATTAAAATTTTCGTATTTTTAAAAAATACTAAAAAAAGGGCTCGAATTAATAGATTTTCTCACAAAAGGAGGAAACTTGAAAAAACAAAAGGAAAAAAGTCGGAACGAAGACAGGACGCTAACCAAGGCATTACGATTTCCCGACCGCTCGATATCCACTTGAGCTATTACGACCATTAACACAATGTCAAAATTTACCTTCTTATATTGTAGCAGTTTTTCATTGAAAACACGGACAAAAAGACATTTTCTAAAAATAAATCCTAGCTAGATCGATTTTTTGCCCCCGAAACTCCCCGGACACAAAATTTTATGAAAAACGTTGGAGCCGTTTCCAAGATTCCGATATATATATATATATATATATATATATATATATATATATATATATATATATATATATATATATATTAATTAAGCCTATTTTTTAAAATTTATTATTAATTTCTTAAAATCTTAATCAACGCTTGTGTTATTAGAATAAGAAGTAATATATACTACCATAAAACAAAGACATTTGTCTATTTTAATAGAATTTTTTTAACTTTCATATGTAACATATCACATAGTTCAATTTAATCTGCGCAACGAATGATATGAACACTTTACAAGTATGCAACAGCAATTATACTATAGATACCGAGTAGCTTACGATAGTAGTCGGATTTGGACAGAATTTGAACTTACAAAATTTAATGTATTCTTATTTAAACGCCATTCTCAGGAATAATGAAAACAAACGAGCACACAGTCGCACTTCTGATGAATTCTGACAAATAAAATACAATACCTATACGTACGAAAGTAACAGTTGAACTACTACTAATCTTGTTTTTTATAAAACAGTCGGTACTTTAACACACTATTTCAAGTAGGCATTGTGTACGCTCTAAATTATATGTTACAGGCTATCGTGCCCGACGGTCCAGAATGCCTGTACGACCTGGCTGAGGACCCTGGTATCGTGACCTTGCACATCTATTACGTTGAAAACCCCTGGTACATCGGTTGTTTGACAAATTGATTTTTAAATGTTTAAACAATCATTTGATTAGTTCCATTAAATGATTATCCATTTCTTATGTAACTGCGTATTTTTTTACATCCTAGAAATACCCGTATGTGAACTATGTTTACCTGTCAGCGTGCCACGTGTTATTTCCAAGTAAAAACTCGAATAGTGCCGAATACAAGATGAGCTTTATTGCACACATATTACCTACTGAAACAATCAATATAATATTGTTTATTGTACACCAATACATATTAAATCGAATGCAAAATTAAATAAATTAGATAATATCGCGTAATATATGTATAATATACAAAAATAATTGCACAGTTCGTACGCGGTAGATGTGAAACCTTCGGAGAAATAAACTTCGAGAGAATGAGACGAATGCAGAGAGAGTATTGCAATATTGTTATCAAGCTGAAAAATTATTTTACATTTTATTCTACATAATATATGACGAGTAACATTACATATTACACACACTTTAAGGGTCATAGCCCACTTACACGACTCTGCTCCAACACCGCTCCTACCCAATACCGCCCTGAACTAAGGCGACAGCTAGCTGGCACCCAGCAGTCCACGCGGCGACAGCTAGCAGGCACCCAGCTGTCCACGCGCCGACCGCTTTCGCTTTTCGCGATAGACACAGTTCGTGGTCAGTTTCCATTGAAACAACTCGTATTTTTGCTATGTCTCAATTCACAACGCGCGAATTAGCGATTATTGCTATATATCTGAAGCGCAATACTTAAAGCCCATATTTGAATTATATTATTTTTGCCGGGTGGGAGCGGAGTCATGTAAGTGGGCTAAGACCCTACGTTTTCGATTTCGTCATCGTAAGTACCTACTAAAAAAATTCTATACAACTAAGTTCGTCTCATACGTTCGCTGGGGAAGAATTTCGCTCTCACAGAATACCAGCGTTAAATAATAGCTTAACGCTGCTGTGTTTCGTATGGTGAGTGTAGAGAACCGGAGACCCTTTTTACTAGAAAAGAGGCATTCCATCTTAGTCCTCACGGGTGACAACGCATTTGCATTTTGATTTGTAATCGAGGACAGGTGGACTGTGTGCTCGTTTGTCACCCTTCTCCTACAAAAAAAGGACTTACTGGCCTCTTTCTTGATGCAATTGTACAAGTGTTTGACTTAGACATAAATGATTGTCGAGGTCAAGGGTATAATGGTGCGAACATGGTCGGAAAATTAAAGGTGTTCAAACCAAAATTTGACTCAATATTTTCGGGTATTTTTCAATGCAGTTATTAGAACTTAATTTGCTCATATTCGCGTAATAAAATAAAATGATGTTTATGTCCTACCCAGTCTGAAGAGCACCTCCCAACCCCCCTCAATCGCATGCACTATCCCAGTAGCCACCACTCCCAGTACCACCACACCAATCACCAACACACTAGGAACGACACACCACTCTCGATAAGATAATACGATACGTGTTTCGCCTCTGCACGAGACATCCACAGACCACAGATGAAGTAGTCTCTGCGGTGGCTGTAGGATAAGTGAGCGGCGAGCTGAAACAGTTTCTATTTATACAACTCGCTGATTAACGAATTGTTTAAACAGCAGCGTGTCAAGAGCGTAGAGAGTGCTACGAGTAATGGTGATGGAATTAGTGGTGACGAAGATAGTGTCAGCCTTCGCAGAGTCTACTTCATCTGAGGATGCCCCTAGTGTGGTGATGCTGGGAGGGGTGGTGCTGGCAGTGGTGGTGGAGGGGATAGTGCACGCAACTGAGGGAGGGCGAGAGGTGAATGCTCTTCAGACTGGGCAGGACACATCATTGTATTTTATACGCGGAAATAAACAAAGTATGTTCTCACAACTTCAATATAATTGATTTCAGCAAAGTAACGCCTGATTCTTTTAATTATCGATAAAGTTAAGTATTTTGGCGTAACAATCGACCAAAAACTAACGTGGAACTCTGACCTTAGCAAAGTATGTCATACAGCTAAAATTGTTTTAGGTACGTGCAGTCGTTTGGTTGGAAACAACTGAGGCTTGCGTCCCGGTATGATCCTATGGCTGTACAGCAGCATAGTGAGGCCGATTATCACCTACGCCTCCATTGTCTGGTGTAATAAGGCTAACCAACATACCACTGAAGACAGACTAAATAGTCTACAAAGGACTGCCTGCTTAATGGCCACTGGTTCTTAATGCACTTCTGTGCCTAACGCTCCTTGATCTTTATTTAAACCAGGAGGCGAGAGCTAGTTTATATAGGATTAACGCCCAGGGCGGTCTGCGCTTGCTTTCCTAAAAATTGAGATCCATGCTCGACTCAATTGAGGAAACACGGGTCTTATTCATGATGTCAGATATCATGCGTTCCCTATACACTTTTAATAAAAAGTATATAGTGGAACTACCCTCCAGAGAAGAATAGTTGAATGGACTGGTTATCTGTGAGGTCGGTAGCCTTATATGGTACACCGATGGGTCAAAAATGGACCTCAACGCAGGCTTTGGACTTTATGGGGAATGCCCCAAGTTCAAACTTAGTATGAATTAGGGTATATTCACTTCTTCTATCTTCCAGACAGAAATTTTCGTCATACTTCAGTGTGCGGAAATCGACAAAAACACTACGCCAATCATATAATCTATAAAAACTCTGATAGTCAAACAGCACTGCTAGCGCTGCGATCAAACTTAGTGAACTCGAAGCTAGTCGGAGACAGCATGAACCGTCTTAACGCCTTGGGATGTAGACAACGTGGTCGTTTTAAGGTGGGTTCAGTGCTACGAGCGTATTGTAGGCAATGAACTTGCCGATGACCTCGCACGGGTGGGGAATATTTTGACACCGAGCCATTTTGTGAAATCTCAAAAAGCCTAGCCCGATTGACCCTTGAAACTCTTTATCACAATAAATCACTTAAGATCTGGTCTGATACACCAGACTTAAAACATTTTAAAACCTTAATTCGGGGTTTTGGTCGTAAATTCGCTTCAGAAGCCCTGGGATTAGGTAAAAATAAACTACGCATTCTGGCAAGAGCCCGGACTGGACACTGTTGTCTTAAAAAGCACATGGCCGTCCTGGGACTAAGCAACTCAAGGAAGTGCCGGTTTTGTTCCTTAACGGCAGAAACGCCTCTGCACATCCTGACTGATTGTGGACCCTTAATGCGCAAACGTAACACATCTGGGAAGGTAAAATTGCTCACAGCTAAGCAACTCCTATTCATTGAAGACATAGAGCTTAGCAGTGAACTACAGCCATAGCAGCGATCACAAACATAATAGATCTCTTAGATCGCAATTATACTAGTCTTTCTAGATAGCTATGCAGAGCTGTTTGCACAAAAAAAGCTATGCAGTCTGAATGAAAATTTTGTCAGAATTTTGAAACAGTACCGAGCCTTTTCATCTGCTCTAACAACAGATAGAACTATAGAACCAATTTTTAAGCCAGCCCCATCCCGAAGTAAGAAAATATTATTTGTGTACAAAGCCGTAAGTGAGACACCAACTGATTCTAATTAATTGTTTAAAATGAACGTTTTTTTTAACCCTGTGATTGATACAATTAAAAGTGCATTGGTTACTTGACTTAAACTATCAAAATTCTATAATACGTGTTCATTTTTATACAAAGTGAAAATAACTCTTGAAAGGTCAAAAAGCCTGTGTTGATTTGCAAATCAGTTGAACGGATGGGCATAATGTGATTTGTCTAGTTGTAAATTGTTTCAGGAACTTACGAGCTTGAACCCATTTTTTAAACATCTTCAATCAGTAGAGCCACATAAAGTTCTCAGAATTATTAAAAATAATGATTGGCAGGATATTTTTCCTAAATGTGTAGACAGCACTTAATCTTGTTGACTATACCTGTACTGACTGTCGCTAAACGGAAACTAAAAATGTATCTACGTTTCTACTATGTGTCAGGAAAGACTGTCATATCTTGGAATCTTTTCCTTAAAAAATACTATTGCCCAGAAGTTAAATTATTCCGAATTTAATAAAAAAATTGCAAGCGCATAAGCCAGAAAGCTGACCATCTAGGCTTTTCATTAAATTTGTTGTTGGTAGTTCTTTTATATTTTTAACACCGTCTGCAGAACAACAGTTTAATTAAAAGTTTTCAAACAAGATTATTAACTCTTATTATGAGAAATAATCTGTACAACTACATAGTAGGCACCGCAGCAAAGCAAGCATGGATTGGTGGCGTTGTCGAGCGCAACAGCGCAACAGAGAAGTGCGAGCGGAATGGACATTTCTTTAACGCAAATAAGCAGAACAACTGCTATGGCAAGAGCGGCAGACAACTGTGCTTGTCCCGCGTATACATTTGTAGATATTTGATAGGTCTAATACTATTTAAAATCACGAAAAAGAAACTGCATAGTATATTAGTATAGGAACACTAAGATTTTGTATTTACAGGGGGGGGAGCTATGAGATCTCGCACCACCTAAAAATTTTGCTAGGGCCGCCACTGGTGCTACAACCACAGACTGCTAAGAGTTACCACGTAAAAAAACGTCTAGATAACCATATCCATAGACGTTTTTTTAAATATTACTTTTATATACGATGGTGTACACCGTCATCTATCGGAAGCTACATTATCTTTACACGAGATAGTGTACACCGTCATCTATCGGAAGCTGTATTACTTTTATACGAGATAGTGTACACTGCCATCTATCGGAAGCTATATTAGTTTCATACGAGATGGTATACACCGCCATCTATCGGAAGCTATATTACTTTTATACGAAATAGTGTACACAGCCATCTATCGGAAGCTATATTACTTTTATACGAGATAATTTACATCGTCATCTATCAGAAGCTATATTAAATTGGTGTACACAGTCATCTATCGGAGGCTTTATTACTTTTATGACATTTTCCATAATCGGCCGGCAGTGACGGCCACACTCTCTAGTACGAGTACATAGTCAGTAATCTATGGGCCACACGCGTATGGAATCCCGTTTTGTCCGCATAATTCGAAC